CCGGGAGCAATTTACTCCGATGTCTAAGGGCCACGCAACGAGTCAGTCTCACGCAAGGATATCGGGCCTCTGAATAAACGACTTTCTTAAATAAATAGCTATCATGGCTCCAAGATCATGCTTCTTAAGCTGGATGCTCTTCATACAACACAATGTAGCATGGTGTCGGGGGGATGAGATCATTCCCAAATGGCAAGGACAAGGTATCTTCGTTTCAGCGACCAAGGTAATGTGCAGGATGACGTCTCGACCGATTGGAAAAACAGGCGAAGGTAAAAGAGAAACTCAAATCCAAAGATTATGACAGATCAGGGCATACTGACATATCACGGGAGAGAAACCGGGCCCCGAACATAGACTATTCTCAGATGTCGCCTGCAGAGCATCTCGCATTCCAAAAAAGCCGGGCACAGAGATACGGCGCCTTGGCTCGCGAGCGACAATACATGGAGGGGCAAGAAAAGTAAGAGGAACTCCAGAGGCTCAAAAGGATTTTGGAAATCTTAGTAGAGGCGCACCGGATGCCATGCTGCTGCTATCCGATGACGCAAAAGGTTGCATCCTGCTTGTCAACAGAGAATGCAAGGAGATGTTACAATCCAACACGATGGCAGCGCATCCCAGGCCGCTGATCGGACGGTGTCTATTTAAATGGTTGGACGTGCCGGAAATGTGGTTGTTCCATGCGGCAATTTCGAAGTGCCTTGTCTTTGGCGAGGTGATCCACACGGTTGCGTAGGAAGTACGGTAGGCAGCGTGGTAGGAGTCACGGAAGGGAGTGTGGTAGGAGGTATGGTAGGCACTGCCGTAGGTGCCGATGTTGGCATTATCGTAGGAGTCGCTGTAGGTAGTGCGATAGGAGAGATGGTAGGCATGGCGGTAGGAGCCACGGAAGGGAGTGTGGTAGGAGTGCATTTAACCTTTGAACGAAACAAGGGATTGATTATTTAAGACACTGATCGACGACCTATTTCTGGTGCAATTGGATTTGCAGAAATAGAGGAGCGATTTACTGTATCTCTCTGGTGCAATTAGATTTGCAGAGATTAAGGATTGTTTTTTAATTGGCCATTGGCTGCTAGACTAAAAGTTAGTACTAAAAACCTGGATCTGGAGGCTTAATATTGGGCTGGCCAGAATCAGCATCGTAAAGTCATGGGAGACAAAGACGATTATAGGATGACAATCGAAGATTGGAAGACTGGGACACCTGGAGGAGCGAGATTGAAAGCTTTATTGGTGCTTAGGACCCAGAGATGGCAGATCTTATCATTGGATCAATCGAGAAGCCCATTTCCAGGGATGAGATATCATCATATAAGGAGAAGAATGCTAAGGGTTACTTCACCCTTAAGAAGTATTTAAAAGGAGCGGCGGCTAACTTAATTGAAAAGCACCGTTTAGATAAAGATGGAGCTGGTGCGTTTAAGGCATAAAGACAAATATGAATTGAGGGGAGAAACGCAAAAGGCGTTTACTTATTTTTGAACTCAGTCACCACAATTTCACTGAGAATGGTGACCCGGGAGAAACCTTCGAAGGTGCAGAGGAGCTAGCTAGGAAAATCAATAATTGATTTGACATGGAAATTAATGAATCCACACTTCTCACTCATCTTATCCATAGAATTCCATCCGCTTATCGGATTGTGAAAGTGAGCTTAGAAACACAAGATGCCATGTCTTATGCGAACTTGAAGTCAAAAATGATCCATCATTTTGTGACAAATATAGCTAATAAGGTCAAGGATGACCAATGCTTAGCTATTAGCTTCAATGGGTACTGCAATTGGTGCAGTAAGTACGGGCATAAGAAAATAGAATGCCTAGTCACGAAAATGGAGGAGGCCGAGTAGGCCCTCCCAATAATGGAAGTAAATTGAGCCGGTATGAGCGTGTACCTGGCGACCCCTACAAAGGCCCTGGCAAAGGCGGGCGCAACAATTTTGGACGGGGAAATGGAGGCCGTGGTGACCGTAGTGGAAGCAGTCGTGGAAAAGGATTGCACGGCGGAAATGGTGTCACTATTGTGGAAGCGCAGACGACTGAGGCAATGAATGCCCTCAAAATAAAAAGGAGCATTCCTATACTTGCCTGCTAGCTAACGAAAGGACGTATACAAGCATAAGGGAGATGAACTCGACCGATATAATGGTTGATAGCGGGGTAACATCCCACATGAAAAGGGATACCGAAGGATTGGTTAATGTCAGACGACACAGTGGCCACGTATATGTGGCAAATGGGGAGAAGCTTGAAGTACATTGCATTGGAGACTGGCTCATGGAGGTGAAGCACAGTGATGGCAAAATAAAATGGGTTATGTTCAAGGACGTTATTGTGGTATCAAATCTGAGTCGCGATTTATTACCCATGGCTAGAATTGATAAAGCCGGTGGAGATATAATAATCCGTAAAGGAAAGGGTATAGCCAAGCAAGATAATACGTGCTTGCCGAGAAGAAAGGTAGATAACATATACTTGTTAGACTACTATCGCAAAACTCGTGAGGAAGCTTATGTGGTTAGCTCACCTGAACTATGGCACAAGATATTCGGTCATATTAATTATGAATACCTGAGACAAATGGGTGAAATTGGTGATACCGGAGTGCCAAAAGGCATTAAGAAACCCGGTGTTTGTGGGACGTGTGAACGAGGAAAACAAGCTACAATGAGTTTCGGTACCAAGCCTAGGGAGAGGGTGAAGGAGCCACTCGAACTAGTTCACACTGATAACTTGTACCTGTAGAGGTAGAATCACTTGGAGGCGCACGATATGCAATTGCTTTTACGGATGATTACACCCGATGGAGGGTGGTATATCCAATGAAGCAGAAATCAGAATCACCAGATTGTCTCAAACGGTACATCATGGATATGAATGTATTACTCCGTGATCGCAAAGTGAAAACTTTGAGTGGAATAAGATCAGATAATGGAGGTGAATATACCAGCATAAATTTCAAGAATTTCTGCAAGAGCCGTGGCATCAGGCAAGATTTTAGTATGCCATATGGACCACAAGATAATGCAGTTGCCGAAAAATCATGGCATGCCTTATCTAATATGGCCCGGAGCCTTTGTATGCAGGCTGGACTAAGAAGACGTTTCTGGGCTGAAGCGTTGAACACTGCAACCTACATGTTCAATCGGTCGAGGACTTCTGCATTAAACTCAGGTGAAACCCCCTATTATAAAATGTTCGGGAAGCATGCGAATGTCAAGCATTTCAGAATCTTCGGATGCAAGGCATTTGTGCACACGCATCTGTTACATTAAGAAAATTTGATGATCATGCTCTAGAAGGGATCATGATTGGCAACAATTGACGCGAATATAAGGATGACATGATGATGCTAAGGGAGCATGAGATCGGCGATAGGAGGTTAAGCGAGCCATCTTACAGTGTTGCATCTATATCCTTTATGGATCCTGCAGCGTGTACCACGTCATGCTATTCGCGACTGTATCATGTCATGGTTTGCGTCCACCTAATCATTTGTATGTTACATTGTTATAAAACAACAGGACTGGCGTCGACCAGTGTCTTTGATCTGTCTTTGATTATCTTAGTACACGATTCTTGGGTGAATCGATTGGTATACATTCTCAGGGAGAATAGTAATTGTACTGAAGAATCAACTGGATATTGGGTTATCCACAGTGGCATTAGTTTGTTTATTCGCATCAGGTTATGGGCCCTAATTGACCTAACCTTTTGAGTTGAATAAAAAGACACTGATCGACGGTCTATTTCTGGTGCAATTGGATTTGCAGAAATAGTGGTCTGATTTCCTGAATCGATCTCGTGCACTTGGATTTGCAGAGATTCAGGAGTGCTTTAATTGGCAATTGGATTTGCTAGATTGAAGGCAGGAAATAATTGTATCTGGAGGCCTTATATACGGCTGGCCAGGATTATAATCGTAAAGTCATGGGAGACAAAGACGATTATAGGATGGCAATCTTCAGTGGAAGATTGGAAGACTGGGACACCTGGAAAAGCGAGATTATAAGCTTTATTGGTGCTAAGGACCCAGAGATGGCGGATATCATCGTCGGATTAATCGAGAAACCGATTTCCAGGGATGAGACACCATCATATAAGGAAAAGAATGCCAAAGGGTACTTCACCCTCAAGAAATATCTAAAAGGAGCATCGGCCAACTTGATTGAAAAGTTCCGTCCAAACAAGGATGGGGCTGGTGCTTTCAAAGCACTGACGGACAAATATGAATTGAGAGGAGAGACTCAAAAGGCATTACTTATGTCTGAGTTCAGCCTGCTCAACTTCAGTGAGAATGGTGACCCGGGGGAAACTTTCGAAGCAGCTGAGGAGCTGGCGAGGAAAGTTAAGAATCGATTTGACATGATAATCGATGAATCTATGCTACTGACTCACCTGATT